TGATTCATACGTGTTAAGGATGTGATAGTGGATTGTGGGGTCCACCAACTGAAAAATAGCTGACAAAAAATGTTTGTTGGGTCCCACAGATTGAAAAAGAGCTGACGAAATAGAGAGGGTAGAGGATGCAAGTTCCGAGAAATGATGAACATGTTTTTTTATTAGTACAAATAAGTTTTCGGATCACTACGAATATATTTTGTGTTCAGTAAGAATATGTTTTCTAATATGTGGTATGCTTATTCTGATTACAAGTTGTGGAAATTACGAATGTACAAATTACACATATGAAATATATTTGTTCAATACAAATATATTTTTTGTTCAATACGAATATATTTTCTAATGTGTATTTATGTTTAGTACAACTATGATTTTCGTTCAACCAGAATATAAATATACAACTTGTATATAATATATGTAAGTTAAATTTTTTTAGTTGCTTTTTCGGTTGCTTTTCCTTGTTAATTACTTTTTCAGTCTATGGCCCCCATATTTCACTATTTATTTTCCTATCAAATCTCAATCTTTAATTTAATGGGCAATTTTTATAAGCTATTGGATGGAAGTGGAGGACCATTCTCCAAATTCTTACTGGTGGACCATATCTAAACTGGGGGCAGAGCTTTTTGAAAGGACAAATATTTCTTCAGTAAGTGTCAGTTGACACTTGCATAGATTAATTGGTCATTGGTGATAGTTCTGTTTTGGTTTTTTATAGAACCCCCTAAAGAGTAGAAGGAAACTTCTTTTGCCATTTATTTGTTTGAAAGCGATACTTATTAACGCTATTAATGGGTCATTGGTAATAGCTCTATTTTTTTTTCTATCGAAACAAGAAGAAAAGAAAAAGTCTTTGCCAATTATTTGATCATATGCGTTACTCATTATTAACTAGCTTATAACCCGTCCCACTGGTAGGAATGTTCATATTTGAGTATTTATGTTTGTTATGTTATTTTTTATTTTATCAATCCGTTTAATTTAATTTTATTGACAAATCCTTTGATCGAGACGATACATAAAGAATGAATGTATAGATCGATCATTTGGAGGATTACCATCATCATTTATGAGTGTAAAATATAAAATATATATTTAATCACATTTCATAATGATAATTAAAATCACATTAAAATTGGGTTTTATGTATAATATGCCCCTCTACTTTGTTTTTTTCTCAAACATGCCCCTCTACTATTAATCACATCAAACATACCCTTTTACTATCAATTAATTCCCAAATATACCCTCAGTTTGTCCATTTCAAAACGGTTAAATTTGGTCCAACCATGCTTTACCCAACAAAATAGGAGATTAAAAGACATATTTTCCCCTATTTATTCTAATATTGAGCGTCCTCTTCCCCTTCAAGCCACGCTTGACAAACAATTACTCGCTAACCCCCCCCCCCCCATTCTCAATCGCGAACGCTCCAATCTGTCGATTCCCAACCACCATAGTCGACTACCCTTGACCCTCCAGCGACCAACATCCTTCATTACCCCTCAATCACAAGTTCCCAAACCCTTATCCTTTACTCCCCACCTCACTTGCTGACCCTCCACCCTCCATTTTCCCTCAGCCGACAGAAGAATACCTAAGCCACCACCACCACGTCGCTGCCGTTGAATCAAAAGTGCCTATTTTTCTAAAGTCCATTTTCATCGCTTCCTCCTTTCAAATCCGTAAAATTTTCAGTCATGCCTTCGACACTGACAACCTCATAATTTATCGGTGCAGTCCTGATTCCTTCCCGCAATAATAAAGCAACGATCAGGTGAAAAAGGATGGGCGTATGTATAGACTTCCGGTAAAATATGGCCAGGTTTAACGGAGTAGGTTTAACGGTAAGCTTATGGTTGGACCAGGTTTAACTGTGATGGGGTAGGCATGAAAAATTTAACGAAAGGGTATGTTGAGAATTATATGATAATACAAGGGTATATCTTATGTCATTTATAGTACAGGGGCATGTTTGAGAAAAAACACAAAGTTGAGGGGCATAATATGTGCATAACCCATTAAAATGCTATTGGTTAATTGATTGTCAAGAAAGATAATTGGAAACTAAAACCTCACAATCATTCATAAAGGGTTTAATGCTCTCCTTTAAGGAAGAACATACCACTAATCAAAAAGAGAGAATTGTTGATTCAAGTCAACCATATACTAACAACACAACTGAATGGAGACCATTAAAATGTGAGAGGAAATGAAAAAATTAAGTTACCTTCAATATAATAATAGAGTCGATCAAAGTAATAAGTTACAAAATTAGACACTCCTGATCTACTAGTTCTAGTAGTTTGAATAGAGAATCTATCTTAACTTTAGTAAATAAATTAATGATTCCTTGTTTTAGGATAGACATACGTTGTGGTATCTGCAACCATAAAGCTAAAGATCCAATAGCCACCACTCTTCGTTATACAACCAATGTCTTATTCACTTTATCTTCAATCTCAAGAGGCATATGTTTCAACCTAAAATTCACTTTATAATCCTCCTCATGCAACTATATTTCTGCTACTTTGATGGACCTTCTCTCTGTGGCCTTCAATTTCCCTTCCAATTGGGTGTTCTTGTCAACTTTCTCTTCAACTCCTCAATCCTCTCTAGTACCTTAGAGGACTACTCCATAAAGGAGGGAAGAAGATACATAGAAGAGGTTGGGGAAGACTTGATGTTAAGGAAGATGACTCCTCTCTTCTAGCTCCTCCTCCTCCTTCTCCTCTTCTCCCTCCTTCAGATTCTCTCTCTTCTCTCTCTCTAAAACCAGAAATTTCTATCTCAAATAAGGGAAAGGGGTCTTCTATTTATAGCCTTCTGAGGACAAACATGTTCACGGCCAGGCAAGGTGCAGATCCCATTAGCTATCTTCTCCATCGAGACCGCCATCTGCCAACGTTGCCATTTTGGAATTCAAAGGCAAGGGGTTGGCGGGCTCACTTCACGTTCGCGATCTATGATTCGCGGCCGCAAACTTCCTCGTGGTCAGAGAGAATTGTGGTCGTGATAAGACTGGGGAAACTCTTTGTTTCTCCTCGGATGCTTCTTCATGAAGTTCCCACCCTAAGCCTCCATATTCGCGGCCGTGATCTTGGGCTCCCAGGCTGCTGTCTTCACCTTGAGTTTGCAGTATGTGTTCTCGGCTGTGATCTCCATCTCCAAGCCATGATCATCAGCTTTCCGCCCCTTTTGCTACACTTGTGCCCTTTTTCATACCTAATTCGCATGTATTATCTAAATAATCCTAAAATCACATCATAATCAACTAGGAACAAAATAGGGATGCAATCGACACTATTTAAACTATTACGTACATGAATTAACACGAAACAAACCTAAATATGAAGGGTAAATAACACCAATTTAGGTGTTATTGCATATGGTTACAAGGAAGGAATGGAAATGCTAGTCAATTTCATTTCATCTATATGACCAACACCGAGCACCCATGACCCAACCCAAGTGAGGTGTTGTAATCTCACAATAAATGATGATACTTGCTTGGTTATTTTTTGAAAATCCAGATGAGTTGTGGGTGTCGATTTTGTAGGCAAAATCACTTGCATGAGCATCTAATCTCTAGAAAGAGTTAATGAGATCATGGCTACAAATTCTAGAAGGTGTCCAGATGAGCTTAAACGATTTCCAAACAACTCGTTATGGCCATATAGTGCATTGACAATGGCATTTGCCTAATCGACCACTCCCTTCCTGGAGCTTTATCTTTCGATACTGAATTGTCTGTTCTAGACGAGTCTAACATGTCAAGTGACTGGAAATGGGATATAATGACATCTTACTTACCCTAGGATTTTCTTTTGCAAGTATTTGGAGTCCATGCCCCTTGATAGGATGCAAGAGCGGACAAACCGACCTATGTGCCCTCAAGCTAAGTTAAGTTCTCCATCAGGACAACTTACGATCTAACTGTCAAGCGAGGGGATTCTAGCACTCCCATGACATGGGACGTGATATGGAGATGGAGTGAAACATTTCATGGGGTTGGCCGCACATGATAAACTTTTTACCAATGAAAAATGCCCTCGCTGACACCTTATGGAAAGAAACTTGTTTACCTCATGCAACTAAAGCCAATAAACAGTCATGCATGTGTTGCATTATTATCCTTTGTCCATAATAGCTTGGATGCAAGTGATTCCTTATGTTCAGCAACAACCTTTATTTTCCATGCCCTTACAAGAGCGGCTAACTAGGTACAACAGCTACCATGATGGCGAACTTTAGTTTGGCATCCTTTGTAGATTGCTATGGAGGACCAGGAATGACCAGGTCATTTCAGGAACTTCTATCTAGATTTCAGGCTTTCTATAATGTGTCTGGGCATGGATAAAGGTAGTGAGTAATGTTATGGACATTGACCAGCACATCGTTGAGTTGGTCAGTCCATCATAACAGAGAAGGAAATCTCAAGGGAGTCTCCTCTTCTCGAGTTGGGCCTTCATCTTAGAAGAATCAGTTTACACTTACACAATCATGCATCTTCCATCAGGTTTTTTGGAGATTCTACAGGTCATTCCTTACTAGCATGCGCCATGAACCTGGGGTCTTATTCAGTGGCCAGGGCAGAGTTGAGGGGCATTGTGGAGCGCTAACAGTTAGTGTGGCATGTCGGGTACAAGTGAATCTAAGTGCAACTTGATTCCAGATGTGCCATTAATTTAATCACTGGCACGAATGGGACAAACCATCAACATGTTGCAATCAACGCAAGATTCCATGAGCTCAAAGCTTGGGAGTGCGAAATCTCATTATCCATCTCCATAAATAAGCCAATTTTTATGCTTATTATTTGGCTAATTTAGGCCACACTTTCCCCATATATTTATATTGTATTAAGGGGTTCCATCTGATTTACAACATGGTTTACTCTTTGATTGTCATGGAATTTCTCAAACAAAATTATTATGAATCAAAGACATGATGCACTTGCATCTAGTAAAAAAACGCCCTCAGTTGTTTGCAAGAAATCATTTATCTTCTTTCACCATTTCAAGCTTCCTATCTAAAGTCTCTGAACAAATTTTTCCCATAAGGTGATAGAATGATAACAATTCAGACAATTGGTCTATTGTCATTTTCCCCATCATACCCCTAGCAATCTGCTCCCTCTCTTTGTTCATCCTCAACCTTTGTCTGTACCCCGAACCATTCCTCACTGTTGCCCCCATCTGTTTTAACCTATTCACTTGCTGCAAACTCAAAACTGTATTTTCCTGCACATTCCATTCATGATTCAACAACAAAAAGATAAAGAATTCATTCCTTTAATCTCTAATGGTACACTTAGTTACTGAGTAGTTACCTCCAAAAATGTTGCTCCAGCTTCAAGCTCTGAGTCTTGACGTGAACCCATCCCACTTCCTGAGCTATACATGTTTTTTGCAATGGAGAAGCTTCTCACAAGTATCCTTCTCTTGGTTTCCAATTCCTTGTCAAGTTTTGAATCTAATTTTGCCATGGGTGCTTCTGATCTACTCAACTTCTTCTGAAATTGAATTACTGCTTTCACAAATTCCTGTCTTTCAATGAATATAATTGTTTAGTGAACAATATTAGTAGTAGTAGTAGTAGTAACAGTAAAAGACGAAATAGGTTTTGGTTTCTGAGTTTTTTCACCTTGTACGCAGCAGGACATCCAGGGTAATCAAAATCATCAGAATCTACATTCCTCATCCTTTCAGGATGGAATTGCAGACCCATTATGAACTTTCCCTCTTCAGGACAATAAGTGTCAGGATCATAAAATCCTTCAACTAGGCCATCAGGAGCGAATGCCATTGGCAAGAACCTTCGTGCCAATTTCCTAACTCCCTGATGATGGTAGCTATTAACCGATATCTCCATTTTGTTTTTATCCAATGAATCCTGAAACCACCGATGTAATGGGGTATTCTCAACCATTCTTACTGGGTGGCGATGTCCATCGTAGTTAGAATAATCTATATGAGAGATTCTTTCATCAACCGAGATTTTTTTGGACAACTCTTTCTCCACATCCTGATAAAGCGTCCCGCCGCACGCCACATTCAGAACTTGGGACCCTCGGCAGATACCAAGATAGGGGATGTTCCTTTCCACGCAGAGTTTGGCGAGGCTCAACTCGATCGTGTCTTTCTCCTTATCGATTGTGGTGTCACTGGAATGGATTCTCTTGATCTCCTCCAGTTCTTCGATTGAGAAACCTGAAAGTTCTGAATCATAGAGAGATGGGTCGATGTCCTCCCCTTCGCAAAGGAGCACGCCGTGGATGGGCTCAAAGCTTTCCAACAACATGTGGACTCCGCTCACTCTTGGGACGATAACTGGCACCGCACCGTAGCTGACGATAAGATCCAGGTGGTATTCCCCTATGGACAATTTCGTCGAGCAATTGGTGACAAACAACAACAAAATTGAAGAAAAAAATGTAAGAATGATAAAGAGAGAAGGAAAAAGGAAACAAACCGACAAAATCCACGAACTTGTTTTTACGAACTGTTCTACGTGAGACAATGAGTACTCTGGGAAGGATCATTGAGAGATCGGAATTTGCCATGGGAGGTTGGTTGCTTTCAAAATTAACAATTGATAAACCCTTTGTACTTGAATTTTGAGATTTGATTGTGATGAAATTTTTCTCTTATTTGGTAAACGTGATTGAAAAGATCTTAATTCGCGAACGGAAAGGAAGCTATGAAATAGGAACAAAAAGGGTTGAGGAGACGCCGCATATTCATAAGCAAAGCTTTCGTTTTATTTTTGTAAAATCTATATATAGAAATGTTATTTCCTATATTCAACGAAAAAAGTATTAATTACTATGTACGCCTTATTTATAGTGTTAGTAACTCTTTAGAGAGATAGTTGAATTTATGTATTCATAGATTGATGGAATCATGAATTAGAATAAATGGATCATTGGCTTCATTGATGAAATTTTTGGATTAAAACAACATCTAAATCTTGGACCATATATTTTGAAAATTTGAAAATTTTAGTTACTAAAATGCTATCATAAATATTAGATACCAAAATAAAAATTTGAAATATTCGTTTTCAATGAAATATTGAACTTTATGTATCAATTTATAAAATATATAGGTACTAGACTATAATTTTTCAACAATCCATGAATGCACCAATTCATTTGGTTTATTCTCTTAGGAAGAACTTATGAATTCCAATAAAACCAAACAAAAGTCCCAGAGGCTACAACATCAACTATCTGAAAGGGTATACAACCATTCCAAAAACTTTCTCCAATTTCTGATGTAATTAATATATGGGCCAAAAGATGAGTTGCATTATTTGCTTCTTCAAATATAAATCTCAAAATATCAATTTATAAAATGTAAAATATATAGGTACTGAACTATAATTTTTTTACAATCCATTTGGTTTATTTTTTGAGGAAGAACTAATGGATTCCATTGAAATCGAAACAAAAGTCTCAGAGGCTAAAGTTGTATCCTACAACATCAGCTATCTGAAAAGGAATACAACCATTCCAAATTTTCTCTCCCGTTTCTAAATGACTATATGGCCTAAAAGATGATCTTCATTATTTGCTTCTCCAAATATAAATCTTCACTCCATACATTGATCATACTTTCGAGCTCGATAATGCTTATGCATATATGTCCCAATTTTGTTCTTTTTCAGATTCCCCCTTCAGCAGACTAACCAACTTTTTATCGTTTATTAGGCCACTGTTGGGTTTAGAACCATTTGCATTAGCTTCTATAGCCCAAAAAGCATTACCCTACCTTGTAGCTTTTACTAGCAGCAAAAACCAATCATATCATTCCAATCCCTTAGCAAACACACATCATTCTCATTTGCGATTCCACTTTTAGCTTATACAAACTCATATGTGGTCTATTCCACTTGCAATTTCTTCTTCCTTCTCTGTACCTTCACTCTTTATCCTTTCCTTGCACCTCCAAGAATTGTTGTGTATAATTATTAAAATACCTCACATTTTTACATGAACTTACTGTTATTTTAAAGAGAAAGTGATTCCTTTCATTTCAGAAAAGCCAGTGCAGTGAGCAGAAACCCCCTCTAGATACCCTTCACCAGCCTCATAAAGGACATGATAATCACTCTTTGCATGTAATATTGTCAGCTTTATAGAACATATGCAAAATGAGGGTCATGTACCATATTCTTCCAATCCAAGAACATTCTTCCAGACAATGTTTTAGAGATTCTTCCATGCCTCAATTTGGACATTCTTCACTCAAGGTACTCTTTTACTTATTATCTCTCCCAATGGAAGGATTTTATGGGATATTTTCCACAAAAAGACTTTCAATATACTTGGTATGTTAAGCTTCTAGAGATTTTTCCATCAAGAAGTCTCATCTCCATGGACTGTTGCAATTCCACTAATATTCCTCTTCAATTCTATTCTTATTCATGGCATACCTAATTTGACAATGTATTTCCCATTATCATTACCCAGCCAACAAAGAATATCATTTTTTATTGATGGTGACAATGGGATCTCTAAATTAGCTTGTTGCTCCTCTTGAGTGAAGATTACCTCGATCAGATCTTTTCTCCACACTACAAGAAACTGCACTTTCTACGATGAATTCTACAGCGATGCTAGAAAATTCGTCGCAGAAAGTGTACAATTTGCAACGAATTTCACTTTTTCGTTGCAAATGGTGTGAAATCTTTTTGCGACGGTAGTCTGTTGTCGCAGAATGTATGTACAATTTCTACGACGGTAGCCCATCATCGTAGAATGTTCGGGAGTTTTCTGCGACGGTTATCTATCGTCGCAGAATGTGTGTCAACTTTTTGCGACGAATTTTTCCATCGCAGAAAGTGAAGTTTCTTGTAGTGCCATGTCCACGTTTCTTGATCGATGAGACTGGAGAATTTGGAATCTCAATCCAAAAGAGAACTGTAGGAGTAGACTTGAAAATTCTCGAGGTCAGAAACCCATTTAGCACCTCAAATATTTCACATTTTCCCCTGACTCGATCCTTGATTTTCATCTGTTCTTAATCAGGTCCTAGTCCCTTATGAAGCTTCTCTATATGTAAGTCGCAGTTCATCCAATCTTGCTTCGAGTATAGTGCTATTGGGGTGGTATCTTGACTTAATCAATCTAGCCACCTAAGATTGTACTTTCAGTGTAACATCCCTACCCTCGTACTAATTATTACGTCATAATGACGTGTTGGTGATCGGGTTACAAAAATGGGTCTTTTGAACCAAAAAAGAGTGAATAGTGAAAGCTTTAGACTTAATTGCATGAGAATGAAAGTTTAGATCCAAATGGGCAATTTGGAGGGCTGGAGAATTCTAGAGAAGGGGAGATAAAAATCTGCCCTCCCCTCATCTCTCTCATTTTCTTCTCATCTCTTTCCCTCACTTTCTCCCACGACCCACTCTTGCTCTCTTTCTTCCACCTGGTTTCACCACCCAAAAACCACCATCCCCATTTTCAGAAACAAGGACTAGAGAGTTAGAAAGAAAGGATATCAAGGAAAGGAAGAAGAAGAAGAAGAAGAAGGAAACAAAGGGGTGCTGCCAATTTTCGTCCAGCAGCAGGACAGCCTGTGGGAAGGACGATTCCTGACAATCAAGCCGTTGGATCATCTTGAGATTTGTATGCTGTATTCCATACTTCCTTGTCTGAGATTGGACCGTTGGGATCATCGTTATGATCTCTGGTTCAGCGAGTAATGTCGCTAGATAGAAGGGGTGCGGCAGTGTTTTCCTGTAGCAGGACAGCCTGTGAGAAGGACAATTCCAGACAATCAAGCCGTTTGATCGTCCTGATATTTGTAGGTTGTGTTCCATACTTTCTTTTCTAAGATTGAACCGTTGGGATCATCTTTATAATCTCTGGTTCATCGAGAAATGTTGCTGGACAGAAGGGGTGCAACATTGTTTTCCTGTAGCAGGACAGCAGATTAAAGGTAAGATCCTGTGCGAATCAGTCGTTGGATTGTTCTATAAATTTGGTATAATATTAAGTATATTGAGTTCTTCGAATTGACCATTAGGAAGGTAGTTTTGATTTCGGAGAGGTCAGGAAACAATCGTTAGAAGTAGGGGAGTTGGATTTGAAGTGAAAAGAAGTAGCTGACAGTTTTGAAACATCAACTTAAAATGATTTCTGGGCTCAAACAGCTGATCCAAATCGTCTGAAATTTGGATATGTTGTATCCTACGAATCTAGTTTCCATATCAACAAGAATCAACTGATTTGGTTAAGTATCAAGGGAGAAATGACCAAAATGGTGATGCAGGGTAAAGTGTGCGGCCGTACGACTTCCCTAGTGGCCTTATCGACATGCATGAACACAACCATGATTATGATTACTTTATACGTATCTTAGTGCTTGAATAACCTGGAAATTTTGTATATAAAGGTAAGGAGCAAGCCGGAGGCTCATCCAAAGGCAAGGGCATAGCCGAGTGAAGACAAAACTGTGAGTAGATTCTAATCTTAGATCTACTTCAACATAATAATAGTATTTGGGTCATGAAGCCGCCCGAATACATATCGGGGTCATGAAGCGGCTCCGGTATAATATGTGAATTTATGGGAAATGTTATGGCTATGTGATATGGTCACTTTAGTGGCCATAATTGTATGTATTGTGTGCTAAATGATATAAGTTCTGAAATTCGGTGATGCCAAGATGGCTTACTGGTGTATATTCATTATCTGCATTTGGTATGAAGTTGGAAATGCATGAATTGTGGTTGAGATATGGAAAGAAATTTTGTTGGTTGGTCTTGTGTATGCCTCTGCAAATTTCTATTGTGCCTCTGCAAATCATTGTTGCCTCTGCAACTAACATTTTGTAGAATTAGCATGGGAATGTGATCTAATGATGAGAATGGTTGAGTGATCATGAAGTGGAATGAAATTGTCATATGGGTTGGATTTGTTAATTTATTGTGTGGATTATGAGTAAGTAGTCGAACTTGCAAATCCGTCATGTCTGCTTATATTTGGAGTAAGCTATTAGGCTTACTAATCCTGTTTTGCTTCTCAGCTTACCTTCCATTCTGCTGTGACTGAGGGTGCAAAAGCACTATAAATGCTTCTGAGCATATAGTGTATAAGTGAGCCTACGGGTTAATGATTATTGACATGTGTCTAAATGAACTATTAATGAAAAGAGGTGAATACATAAGAATAAGTAAAAGGGCTTCATGATACCTCGTACAGTAGGGTGTCCTGTTTGTATCGATATGCGTAAACCCCACGATACTCTAGTTTGAGCGCTCGTGCTTCGCACCGTGACGATTGGGTGACGACCCACGGTACTCCTATTCTGTTCAGTTAGCCGGCTGAAGTAATCCCGTGGCGACTCCTGTTTTGTATCGGTCCGGGTTGTGTCCCGCGATACTCCTGTTGGTGCTAGCACTCCTGTTTCGTGCCTTGAGCACTACAATTTTGTGCCTTGTGCACTCCTGTTTCGTGCATTGTGCACTTCTGTTTGTACCAGATGGGGTTTTTTCCCTCGGTGCTCCAGTTATATGATGGTTGTACATGGTTATCCTGCAGCCTCCCACTACTGTACTACCCGGGGAGGATATCATTTAGCAAAATTTTGAAAGTGAAATTGTATAAGCAAAATACCTTTGTCTGTCATCTGTTTTATGTGTTTTGACTGAGATGGGATGTGGACATGTGTACTTGATTGATTCAGTGGAATGAAAAGTGTGATAAACAACTTAAGTCTTGTTATGTGCTAGGGTGTTTCTACCCAATACTGTTTTTGTATTGATGTCGATATGAGCTTAGAATTTATTCACTAAGCGACGACTCATCCTTCGTCACCACTTTTCCTCAGATCAAGAGCATAAGTAAGGTCTGTACTATAGATATCGGGACTCAAGCGTGAAGGGAAGCCATGAGGTGGGCTGAGGACTCTGAACTCCTTAAATGTTTTATGTTGTGTGGATTTTGTAATAAAGCGGACTTCCCGAGTTTTCTGTTTTGACTATGATGAAAATGTAAATTATGGTTTGAAGTTTGGAAAAAAAATATATATATAAAGCTCGGGCCCGAGAATGTTTAAACTCGATGTATTTTACTGTTTCGTTTTGTAATATAAAGTAAGGGTGTTACATTTTTATATCAGAGCTGGGATATGATCCCGTGGATACCAAACGCTTTAAACGAGATTTTTACTGGGAAAACTTAAATGATTTCACGGGGAAGTGACTAATTATTGATTTTGACTATGTATTTTGTTTTTGTGGAGTTCAGTCACGGAGCAGATCCGCAACCTCATGGGAATCCTAATGCTGGAAATTCTAATTTTAATGGGAATAATGCTGAGTCCCGCAATAGAGCCAATCCTTATGTCAAAGATTTTGAAAAGCTGAGGAATATGGGAGCCGAGTTGTTTAAAGGGGCTATTGACCCTAAATATGCTCTGGACTGGATCAAGGAGATTGAACGAATCTTTAACCTCCTTGAGTGTCCTGACGAAGCAAGAGTGGAGTATATGTACTACCTGCTCAGGTCTGATGCTTATGACTGGTGGTTGACCGTACCCGGGGCTCAGGATCGTACGATTCGGTATACCTGGGCAGAATTTCTTGAGAAATTCCGTAAGCAATATGTGCCTGATCTGTATGTGGATAGGAAGAAGAAAGAGTTTCTGGACCTGAAACAACAAAGGGGGCAACTGTTAAAGAGTATGATGTCATTTTCCATCGTTTGATGACCTTCACGATGGAGTTGGTACCTACTGAACAAGCTAGATGCAACCTCTATGAGCAAGGCCTAAATCCCCGAATCAAGACGATAGTAGCAAAATCGGAGACGACTGATCTTGCCACCTTGAGAGAGGCTGCCATGATAGCAGAGGATTTGGTGCCTAGTTGCTTAGTTTCAGCCACCCAGGTGGTGAGTCTGATGAAGAAAGGCTGTGAAGTGTATCTGGCTTATGTGACTGAGAGCAAACCGAAATTGAAACCTGAAGATGTTTCGGTTGTGAAGGAGTTCCTGGATGTGGTCCCTTCGGAACTGCCAGGATTACCTCCGGAAAGGGAAATAGAGTTTACTATTGAACTGATACCGGGCACTACTCCGATCTCTATATCTCTGTACCGTATGTCTCCGTTAGAACTAAAAGAACGGAAGGAGAAACTTCAAGAGTTGCTAGATAAGGGGTTTATTAGACCTAGTGTCTCCCCTTGGGGCGCTCCGGTATTATTCGTGAAGAAAAAGGATGGAACTTTCGTCTATGTATTGACTACCGGAAGCTTAACAAGTTAACAGTTAAGAATAAATATTCGTTACCTCAGATTGATGATTTTCTTGACCAACTACAAGGATCGAGGGTCTTTTCCAAGATTGATATAAGATCAGGTTATCATCAATTAAGGGTAGTGGATGAGTCCATACCGAAGATAGCTTTTCGTACTAGGTATGGGTATTACGAATTTCTTGTTATGCCTTTCGGGTTGACAAATGCTCCAGCTGTGTTCATGGCACTGATGAACCGAGTGTTTTAGGAATATCTGGATAAGTTCGTGATCGTCTTTATTGATGATATTCTAGTGCATTCTTGAAGTGAAGAAGAGCACCAGGAGCATTTGACAATCGTACTGCAGATTCTGAGGGAAAAGCAGTTGTATGCTAAGTTCAGCAAATGTGAATTTTGGATGGATCAAGTAGTATTTCTGGGCCATGTGGTGTCTGAGAGAGGTATAGAGGTGGATCCAATGAAAGTAGAAGCAGTGATACAATGGGAGCCACCAAAAAATATACCTAAACTAAGAAGTTTCCTTGGCATGGCCGGATACTACAGAAGGTTCATTGAGGGGGTTTCTCTGATTGCAGCACCATTGACAAAGTTACCGAGGAAAGAGCAAACTTTTATATGGGATAACAAATGTCAATCCAGTTTCGAAGAGTTGAAGCGGAAGTTAACCACTGCACCGGTTCTTGCCCTTCCCTCGGGAACTGGAGGTTATGTGGTATACAGTGATGCTTCGCATCAAGGGTTAGGATGTGTTCTCATGCTGCATGGTAAAGTAATTTCTTATGCTTCCAGGAAATTACAACCATATGAGAAATCCTATCCGACTCATGATGTAGAACTGAGGCAGTGGTTTTTGCCTTAAAGATTTGGCATCATTATTTGTATGGTGAGACTTTTCAGATCTTTACTGATCATAAGAGTCTCAAGTACTTGATGGAGCAAAAAGAGCTAAATCTTAGGAAAAGGAGGTGGGTAGAGTTGTTGAAAGATTACGACTGTACCATCGAATACCGCCAAGGCAAAGCAAATGTTGTGGCAGATGCTTTGAGTCGAAAGATCAAGCATCGTACTAGAAATGAGGAGACTGGTTTAATGGCAAATTTGATTTCTTTGAGAGCTATGAGTGTTGAATTGGAAATGAATTCCGCAGGAGAGTTACTGGCCACTTTACAAGTGCGCCCAATTCTGAGAGAGAATTATTAAAGTTCAGGATCAAGATCCTGAATTGAGGAAGATTATTGATAAGCTATGTAAAGGAGAAGAAACCAAATTCACACTTCGAGATGGAGTTCTGACACTAAATGAAAGACTTTGTGTTCCATATGTGGATGAATTGCGAAGGGAGATTTTGGAAGAAGCTCATTCCTCTCCTTATGCAATGCATCCTGGAACGACAAAAATGTACCATTCGTTAAGACCTCATTATTGGTGGCCAAGGATGAAGAAAGAAGTGGCTGAACATGTCTTGACGTGTCTGGTATGTCAGAAAGTGAAAGCTGAACATCAAGCCCCAGCAGGAAATTGCAACCATTGTCCATTCCAGAATGGAAATGGGAAAAGATTACCAAGGACTTTGTCTATGGTATACCTAGGACTCAGAAGAAGAACGATGTCGTTTGGGTTATTGTGGACCGATTGACAAAGTCAGCTCACTTTATACCCATTAGATGGGGTTTTCGTTAGAGTTACTGACAAAGAAGTATGTGAAGGAAATAGTGAGACTACATGGAGTACCAGTATCCATCGTCTCTGATAGAGATTCAAGGTTCACTTCTCGATTCTGGAAGAGTTTGCAAGAAGCACTGGGTACTCGTCCGAACTTTTCAACCGCTTTTCGTCCCCAGACTGATGGTCAATGCGAGCGAACAATCCTCACTCTTGAGGAAATGTTGCGAGCTTGTGTATTGGATTTCCAAGGTTCTTGGGATGAACATTTGTCACTAGGGGTGGATTCGGTTCGGTTATAACCGATAACCGATTGGTCGGTTACCGGTTAACCGAACCACCATCTCCCCCTACCGAACACCGACCGACGCAAATGCCTCGGTTAACCAATAACCGACCGGTCGGTTGTCGGTTAGTTGGTCAGTTAACCGAGATAACCAAAAAAATTATGGTGGTTCGGTTTTAACCGGGTAAAATTATTAGAATTGCCTAAAATGAAAGGTTCTAACTTACATTTCTACATCTAAATCACCAAATTAATGTCTCAAATTCAACAACATAAAATTATAAACTTCATAACCGGGCATTTTCACATCGTTTTGGTGAGGGGGGTGGTCGGTCAGTTATTTTTGGTTATTATCGGTTAACCGGATAACCGATTTTCGGTTACTTGGTTAACCGAATTACCTAATGGAAGCTCCGACCACCGACCAAAGCATATAGTTTTCGGTTATCGGTTAACCGGTAACCGTCGGTTATCGGTTTAACTGGTCGGTTAACCGGTAACCGATAACCGAACCTCCAGCCCTATTTGTCACTGATTGAATTTGCTTATAACAACTAGTACCATAGTAGTATTGGTATGGCTCCATATGAAGATCTGTATGGAAGGAAATGCAGATCCCCAGTGTACTAGGATGAGGAAGGGTTAAGGCAATTGGAGGGACATGAAATCGTTCAGGTGATAGTGGGTAAGATTAAAGTGATCAGAAGCCGGTTGAAGGCCACACAAGAAAAGACCGGCAAAAGAGCTATGCTGATATCCACCGAAGAGAGATGGAATTCCATGATATCCTTTTTCTTCCTTTCCTTGATATCCTTTCTTTCTAACTCTCTACTCCTTGTTTCTGAAAATGGGGGTGGTGGTTTTTGGGTGGTGAAACTAGGTGGAAGAAAGAGAGAAAGAGAGCAAGAGAGGGACGTGGGAGAGAGTGAGGGAAAGAGATGAGAAGAAAATGAGAGAGATGAGGAGACGAAAGATTTTTATCTCCCCTTCTCTAGAATTCTCCAGCCCTCCAAATTGCCCATTTGGCTCTAAACTTTCATTCTCTTGCAATTAAGTCTAAAGCTTTCACTATTCACTTCTTTTTTTGGTTCAAAAGATCAATTTTTGTAACCCGGTCACCAACACGTCATTATGACGTAATAATTAGTACGAGGGTAGGGATTTTACATTTCCTCCCCTCTAAATAAAATTTTGTCCCGAAATTTACCTTGAAACAAGTAGGGTTATTGAGCTATCATGCTTTCTTCCGTCTCCCACGTGGCTTCTTCTCTAGTGTGACTTTTCTAAATTACTTTCACCATAGGAATACTTCGATTCCTAAGTTGTTTCATCTTTCGATCCATGATCTCTTTTGGTTCCTCCACATAGCTTAGATCTTTCTGGACCTCAATCTTATCTGGCTCCAGTACATGAGATGGGTTCGATCGGTATCTTCGAAGCAAACTCACATGGAAGACATTGTGGACTTGAGACAACTCTGGTGGTAAGGCAAGTCGATAGGCTACCAGACCTATCTTCTCCAGAATCTCATAAGGTCCGATACCTCGGACTTAACTTACCCTTCTTTTGAAATCTCAAAACACCTCTCCGCGGAGACACTTTCAAAAATTCTTTCTCTCCACTCTGGAACTCCATCTCTCTTCGGTGGATATCAACATAGCTCTTTTGACGGTCTTGTGTGGCCTTCAACCGTCTTCTGATCACTTTAATCTTATCCACTGTCACCTGGACGATTTCAGGTCCCTCCAATTGCCTTAACCCTTCCTCATCCCAGCACACTGGGGATCTGCATTTCCTTCCATAGAGAGGTTCATATGGAGCCATACCAATACTACTATGGTACTGTTTGTTATAAGCAAATTCAATCAGTGGCAAATGTTCATCCCAAGAACCTTGGAAATCTAATACACAAGCTCGCAACATTTCCTCAAGAGTGAGGATTGTTCGCTCGCATTGACCATCAGTCTGGGGATGAAAAGCGGTTGAAAAGTTCGGACGAGTACCCAGTGCTTCTTGCAAACTCTTCCAGAGTTGAGAAGTGAACCTTGGATCTCTATCAAAGACGATGGATACTGGTACTCCATGTAGTCTCACTATTTCCTTCACATACTTCTTTGTCGGTAACTCTAGCGAACAACCCCATTTAATGGGTAAAGTGAGCCGACTTTGTCAATCGGTCGACAATAACCCAAACGACATCGTTCTTCTTATGGTCCTAGGTAGACCATAGACAAAGTCCTTGGTAATCTTTTGCCATTTCCATTCTGGAATGGACAGTGGTTGCAATTTTTCCGCTGGGGCTTGATGTTCAGCTTTCACTTTCTGACATACCAGACACGTCAAGGCTTGTTCAGCCACTTCTTTCTTCATCCTTGGCCACCAATAATGAGGTCTTAATGAACGGTACATTTTTTTCGTTCCAGGATGCATTGAATAAGGAGAGGAATGAGCTTCTTCCAAAATCTCCCTTCGCAATTCATCCACATTTGGAACACAAAGTCTTTCATTTAGTGTCTGAACTCCATCTCAAAGTGTGAATTCGGTTTCTTCCCCTTTACGACTCTTATCAATAATCTTCCTTCAGGATCTTGATCCTGAACTTTAATAATTCTTTCTCTCATAATTGGTCGCACTTGTAAAGTAGCCAGTAACTCTCCCGCGGAATTCATTTCCAATTCAACACTCCCAGCTCTCAAAGAAATCAAATTTGCCATTAAACCAGTCTCCTCATTTCCAGTATGATGCTTGGTCTTTCGACTCAAAGCATCTGCCACAACATTTGCTTTGCCTAGGTGGTATTCGATGGTACAATCGTAATCTTTCAACAACTCTACCCAACTCCTTTGCCTAAGATTTAGCTCTTTTTGCTCTATCATGTACTTAAGACTCTTATGATCAGTAAAGATCTGAAAAGTCTCACCATACAAATAATGACGCCAAATATTTAAGGCAAAGACCACCGCCGCCAGTTCCAAATCATGAGTCGGATAGGATATCTCATATGGTCGTATTTGCCTGGAAGCATAAGCAATTACTTTACCATGCTGCATGAGAACACATCCTAACCCTTGATGTGAAGCATCACTGTATACCACATAACCTCCAGTTTCTGAGGGAAGGGCAAGAACCGGTGCAGTGGTTAACTTCCGCTTCAACTCTACGAAACTGGATTGACATTTGTTATCCCATATAAAAGATTGCTCTTTCCTTAGTAACTTTGTCAATGGTACAGGCGTACAGCAATCAGAGAAAATCCCTCAATGAACCTTATGTAGTATCCGGCCATGCCAAGGAAACTTCTTAGTTAAGATATATTTTTTGGTGGCTCTCATTGTATCACTGCTTCTACTTTCCTTGGATCTACCTCTATCTCTCTCTCAGACACCACATGGCCCAGAAATACTACTTGATCCATCCAAAATTCACATTTGCTGAACTTAGCATACAACTGCTTTTCCCTCAGAATCTGCAGTACGATTGTCAAATACTCCTGGTGCTCTTCTTCACTTAAAGAATACACTAGAATGTTATCAATAAAGACGATCACGAACTTATCCAGATATTCCTGAAACACTCGATTCATCAGTGCCATGAGCACAACTGGAGCATTTGTCAACCCGAAAGGCATAACAAGAAATTCGTAATGCCCATACCTAGTACGAAAAGCTGGCTTCGGTATGGACTCATCAGCTACCCTTAATTGATGATAACCTGATCTTAGATCAATCTTGGATAAGACCCTCGATCCTTGTAGTTGGACAAAAAAATCATCAACCGAGGTAACGAATATTTATTCTTAACTGTTAACTTGTTAAGCTTCTGGTAGTCAATACACAGACGAAAAGTTCCATCCTTCTTCTTCACGAATAATACCGGAGCGCCCCAAGGGGAGACACTAGGTCTAATAAACCCCTTATCTAGCAACTCTTGAAGTTGCTCCTTCGGTTCTTTCAGTTCTAACGGAGACATACGATACAGAGATATAGAGATCGGAGCGGTGCCCGGTATCAGTTCAATAGTAAACTCTATTTCCCTTTCTGGAGGTAATCCTGACAGTTCCGAAGGGAACACATCCAAGAACTCCTTCACAACTGAAACATCTTCAGGTTTCTATTCCGGTTTGCTCTCAGTCACATAAGCCAGATACACTTCACAGCCTTCCTTCATTTGACTCACCACCTGGGTGGCCAAGACTAGGAAACTAGGCACCACCTGTCTAGTCCCTAGAAATATCACATTCTGACCATCTGGTCTTTCAAAAATTACTTCCTTGGTATAACAGTTCATTACGGCTTTCTGTTGGCTTAACCAATCCATTCCTAGAATTGTATCAAATTCAGTCAGCATTAACCTCAATAAGTTAGCTGGCAGAATAGTTTTAGCTATATTTATTGGGGCATCAGGATAGGCATATTCAATCACTACGGTATCCTCTATTGGGGTTTGAACTATTACATTCATGTTCAACATTTCAGAGTGCACAGGCAACCCACGTGAGAATGCAGAAGATATGAATGAATGAGTAGCACCAGGATCAAGCAACGCATAAGAGATAAGATCATAGATAAGAACCGTACCAGTAACGACCTCTGGAGAGATGTCAGCCTCCCTCCTAGTCATAGCAAAAGCTCGTGGCTGCACTTCACCCCGACTGCTCTGTCCACCCTGACTTTTGCCAGGATTATTACTTCTTCTTCCTGATCCACTCACTGGACCTCAAGTCCTTCTGGACCCTTGAATTGTAGTCTCGGATCCAGCAGGCCTAAACTATGGCATATGGGGACAATCTCGGAGAAAGTGGCTAGTGTCTCCACATAGGAAACACCCACCAGTCACCCTCCTGCAAACACCCATATGTTGATTCCCACAATGTGAGCAAATAGGAGCTGGACCTTCACTTCTCCTCTCTTGTCCGGGGTAACTGGCCACTGGACGTGAAACCCTCTGACTCTGATTAGGTCTACCCCCGAATGAGTTCCCAACACTCGAAGAACCCACGTTCTTTCACTTTCTCTTCCTTCCTTCAGCCATCTGTGCTCCCATTTCATTCATCAAATCCTCTGCTCTCATGGCAGCCTCTCTCAATGTGGCAAGATCAGTCGTCTCCGATTTTGCTACTATCATCTTGATTCGGGGATTTAGGCCTTGCTCATAGCGGTTGCATCTAGCTCGTTCAGTAGGTACCAACTCCATCGCGAAGGTCATTAGACGATGGAAAATGGCATCATACTCTTTAACAGTCTGCCCCCTTTGTCGTTTCAGGTCCAAAAACTCTTTCTTCTTCCTATCCACATATAGATTAGGCACATATTGCTGATAGAATTTCTAAAGAAATTCTGCCCAGGTATACCGAATCGTACGATCCTGAGCCCCGGGTACGGTCAACCACCAGTCATAAGCATCATACCTGAGCAGGTAGTACATATACTCCACTCTTGCTTCGTCAGGAACTCAAGGAGGTTAAAGATTCGTTCAATCTCCTTGATCCAGTCCAGAGCATCGTTAGAGTCAATAGCCCCTTTAAACAACTCGGCTCCATATTCCTCAGCTTTTCAAAATCTTTGACATAAGGATTGGCTCTATTACGGGACTCAGCATTATTCCCATTAAAATTAGAACCTCCAGCATTAGGATTCCCATGAGGTTACGGATCTGCTCCGTGACTGAACTCCACAAAAACAAAAATATAGAGTCAAAATCAATAATTAGTCACTTCCCCGTGAAATCATTTAAGTTTTCCCAGTAAAAATCTCGTTTAAAACGTTTGGTATCCACGGGATCATATCCCAGCTCTGATACAAAAAATGTAACACCCTTACTTTATATTACAAAACGAAACAGTAAAATACATCAAGTTTAAACATTCTCGGGCCCGAGCTTTATATATATATTTTTTCCAAACTTCAAACCATAATTTACATTTGCATCAGAGTAAAAACAGAAAACCGGGGAAGTACGCTTTATTACAAAATCCACACAGCATAAAACATTTAAGGAGTTCACAGTCCTCCGCCCACCTCATGGCTTCCCTTCACGCTTGAGTCCCGATATCTATAGTACAAACCTTACTTCTGCTCTTGATCTGAGGAAAAATGGTGACGAAGGATGAGTAGTCGCTCAGTGAATAAATTCTACATCAATACGAAAACAATATTGGACAGAAACACCCTAGCACATAACATGACTTAAGTTGTTGATCACACTTTTCATTCCACTGAATCAATCAAGTACACATGTCCACATCCCATCTCAGTCAAAACACATAAAACAGATGACAGACAGAGGCATTTTGCTTATACAATTTCACTTTCAAATTTTTGCTAAATGATATCCTCCCCGGGTAGTACAATAGTGGAAGGTTGCAGGATAACCATGTACAACCATCAGATAACTGGAATACCGCGGGACAATAATCATTTAATAGTTCATTTAGACACATGTCAATAATCATTAACCTGTAGGCTCACTCATACACTATATGCTCAAAAGCATTCATAGTGCTTTTGCACCCTCACTCACAACAGAATGGAAGGTAAGCTGAGGAGCTTACTCCGAGTTATTCAAGCAGAACAGGATTAGTAAGCCTAATAGCTTACTCCAAATATAAGCAGACAGGACGGGTTTGCAAGTTCGACAACTTACTCATAATCCACACAATAAATCAACAAAACCAACCCATATGAAAATTTCATTCCACTTCATGATCACTCAACCATTCTCATCATTAGGTCACATACCCATGTTAATTCTACAAAATGTCAGTTGCAGAGGCACAGTAGAAATTTGCAGAGGCATACACAAGACCAACCAACAAAATGTCTTTCCATATCTCAACCACAATTCATGCATTGCCAACTTCATACCAAAAACAGATAATGAATATACACCAATAAGCCATCTTGGCTTCACCGAATTTCAGAACTTATATCATTTAGCACACAATACAGACAATTATGGTCACTAAAGTGACCATGTCACATAGCCATATCATTTCCCATAAATCCATATATTATACCGGAGCCGATTCATGACCCCGATATGTATTCGGGCGGCTTCATGACCCGAATACTGTTATTAAGTTGAAGTAGATCTAAGATTAGAATCCACTCACAGTTTTGTCTTCACTCGGCTATGCCCTTGCCTTTGGATGAGCCCCCGGCTTGCTCCTTACCTTTATATATAAATTTTCCATGTTATTCAAGCACCAAGATACTTATAAAGTCATCATAATCATGGTTGTGTTCATGCATGTCGATAAGGCCACTAGGGAAGTCGTACGGCCGCACACTTTACCCTGCTTCACCATTTTGGTCATTTCTCCCTTGATACTTAACCAAATCAGTTGATTCTTGTTGCTACGAAAACTAGATTCATAGGGATACAACATATCCAAATTTCAGACCATTTGGATCAGCCGTTTGAGCCCAGAAATCCTTTTAAGTTGACATTTCAAAACTGTCAGCTACTTTCTTTTCACTTCAAATCCAACTCCCCTACTTCTAACAATTGTTTCCTGACCACTCCGAAATCAAAACTACCTTACGAACGGTAATTTTGAAGAACTCAATATACTTAACATTATACCAAATTTCTAGAACGATCCAACGACTGATTCGCACAGGATCTTACATTTAATATGCTGTCCTGCTACAGGAAAACAGTGTCGCACCCCTTCTGTCCAGCAACATTCCTCGATGAACCAGAGGTCATAACGATGATCCCAACGGTCCAACGGCTTGATTGTCCGGAATCGTCCTTATCACAAGCTTTCCTGCTACAGGAAAACAAAACCTGAGAGGGAGATCCTCTCCGTGGTCATCAATGACGATACCACGTTAAAAATCTCGAGTGTTATTTACGTTTCAGCTTGTTTGATTGAATATTTGTCAGTTTCTTTCTCTTCCCATGATTCGTCTAGCGAATTACCAAGCTATAGGTTGGAGAGGAATCTCGAGCGGATCGAAGTTGGCGATCATTTCAATAGGGAGGGGAGAATCGAAGTGTCAATTGAAGATGATGAACTATTTTCAGTTAAAAACTTTTACATTATTTTTCGTTGAATAAAACTTTTATAATTATGGTGCGAACTTAGATTATAAAAAGATACGGTGAGAATACATTGATTATTTATTTTATTTTCTTATGAGTATTTTAGCGAGTTGTCATTTTCTACACATTAAGTCATGCATTTTAACTTATTTAATTACGGACAATGCATCAAATAAAGTTATGGATGACAAATCGGTCAAATCCTTTGAGAAAGTCTCAAAGTCCTACACAAAAGACAAAATGATATTTGTATCGTTTTTAGATAATAAAATAAAAAGGTATTACCTTTGACAATCGAAAAACTAACCAACCTGCAATAAAAAATTTGATTTAGTTTTGTTCAATTCAATATAAATTAATTAAATATTTATAACTACCAATAACAAAGCACGAACCAGTTATCCCGTTTCAATATTATCTATCTATCTATCTGTTTATCTATCTATCTATACTATATATTATGGAAATTCAAAAAAAAATTCTTGCCACATAAGCACTTGGAGGATCCACAATTTGCCAAGTTGGACCACTTTTTTACAAACAAAAAATTAGTTATTAATGTATTTATGGAGCTACATCTCTCTTCTTTAATATTTCCATTTCTTTTATCCAATTATTCTTTTTTATTTATCCATTTATTCTTTTTTGTCTTTAATAATAAGGTACATGATGATAAACTTAACCAAACACACATAAATAATAATTTTTTTAATAAACAAAATATAAATAAGAAAAAAGAGAGTGACATATATCACATTTATTTAAATAAAAAACATCTGATTAAACCTTATAAAATAAATTTTCTACTGATTTTTACTAAAATTCAATGATAAGTTACATTTTGATGAAAAAATAAACAAACATACACATAAACAATTATGTTTTAATCGATTAAACCAAAATATATATGAAAAGAGAGAAAATAAATATTTATCATTCAATTACCTTTGAAAAATAAACTAAATTACTTTATATTTTGTTGCAATGAAACACTATCTTATTCGTACAATATATATCTATAAAATAAAACAGTATTATTTAGCAAAATGTCATAGTATAATCTTGATCGAGTAGTTACAGTTATTTATTTAAAAAAAATTCTTATTCATTCAGATCATTTTCTACCTTAAATTCCTCAAATGAAGAGGAATCGCATGTGCAATAATTTGATAATGTGACCTAAGTCGTATGCTAAGAAATTTTCTTTCAGACTTTGAGTTATCTTCGACGATTATAAATCAGAATTTTCAAAATGACTTAAGTATGATTGTTGATGAACTTTGAATTCATACCCTAGGATGAGACACAAGATTCCTTGAAAAATAATAGATGTGAAGATTAGAAAAATCTTTGTTCAGAATCTACGATAAACATCACGTTTCATCAACTACTAACATAGGCATTTACCAAATAAAGGTTGGCAATTTTTAGTAAGATCGTCAATTGGGATAAACATATTTATCCAGCAATCAAGTATCTTTATCCAATAATCTCAACTCTCAAAATTGGTTTTCAGTTCGTCTAGACTCGAGAAAAATGAATTAATATATGTTGTATAAGATAATAAGTTAATGCAAATAATCAAATGAAATACACTGATATTGTTCAAATGATAAGACATTTTAAATGCACTTAAAATATGTGTGTATTGGAGACACTCTTTATCAATTATTAATATATAAGCGATAAATTTTTTGAAAATTACACATTCAACGACCATGTTAAGACCAAAAATCCTCGATAGTGTGTGTGAATGCCTTAGATTGAGATTCTAAGTCAACATATAAACAATGACCATCGGTTGAGGTTTAGTATAAACTTCAAAAATTAACAATGGATACATATTATATAATATACTAAATTTAAGTGTCTGGATAAAAAAAACAAACATCCAAAATGGAAATGAGTCGAGATTAGAGAATTTAGTCATCATGAGGGCTACAGTGTGTGTCAAGTTTCAATATAGATGAATAAATCCAATAATGAAGTATCTTTACTAAGAATTTCTCACTAAAAAGTCGTAATTTTTACAACATTGGTCGAGAGTTCGTCCAAACTCGAGGATCATGAATGTGTATTGGATTTCCAAAGGATCTAAAATCCCAATCCCTTTCGAGGGTTAAATACCTCTGATCACAACCATAGGTGCTAAAGTAGAAGGAAAAAGAAGCCAAAGAAAAGCAAAAAAGAACATAACCTCTGATAAGATGAACATAATAAAACCATATCGAGCTATGATCCCGTCATCCCTACCTTTTTATATATTATATATCGAACAATAGACAACCCAATGGTTCTCTGGCGTTATGGGGGTAAAAGCGAGATCTCTAGATAATTTTGAGTGTAATATACATACACACACATATATATACATGTATATGTAATATCAAGGTATACTATACTTTTTATTTAACTCAAGATACGATAGAAGATAGGTATTACGAAGTCTGTGCATAAATTAGAGGTTACAGAATTATGGACTAGAGTTCACCTATTAGAGGTTAGGGTATAGTATAATGCCCCAAAAAATCCGGTTAATTCGGGTCTAAATAGTAAAACTCAATGGTCGTATGGTAGTATGAACGCAAGAGTATAACGTACTCCTGGCGCACGCTAGCTTGAACTATATATATGTGTGTGTGGTTTAGGTTGGCATACGCTAAATATTAGTGTTTTGGTTGACAAATTTTGACATAAGTTCTAAACGGGACGTGACAGCGGCATAATTTATGATTCGAAAACCGAAGCATCACAAGTGAGTGTGCTAAATATTGGAAATTTCAATATAGACATACTACAAACTCTATTATAAAATATTTAAAAGATCCAAAATGATTTAAACATATAAATTATAAAATAAATCTCTCCGGCCAACGGACCGGGTAAAAAGCTAGTATACTATATAGTAGATGAAAAACGAAAATTCAAACAATAACCCCTTGTGGTTTCAATGTGGACGCAGCTCACGCATTAGTTAATTAAGAAAGCAATTATTAGGGAAAAGGTTGAAAAATTAGGGACCAAAGTCCAAAAGGTTGAGACACGTTCCCCCGATTACGAATAAAACGACGAAGTAGCGCCTCTTATATTCGAAGAAGAAAAACAGACAATTCTACTTTTTTAAGAAATAAAAGGAAAAAGATAGACGACACTGGCCCGCTAAAAACACGGAAATGAATATCAATTAAATAACAATAATGATGGGGAAAAAAAAAAGAACACCTCCACAGTAAGATAGTAGGAAGAGCGAGTGGTACTAAAAAGTAGCAGTCGTCGGCGGTGTGCCCACCCAGACTCCAGAGAGAACGATAATGGCTGTCTCGATTCCAGTTCTAGCTGTCATCGTCTCCCTCCATCTCATCGCCTTTGTACTCGCCATCGGCGCCGAACGCCGCCGCAGCACCGTATGTTTCTTCCTTTTACCTCTTTTTTCTCATGCTGCTTCCCTTCCAATCCCTCCGTCGCTTCTTCATTTGTTTGGATGCCTCTTTTTCTTTCCGATGCAGGCTACGGTGGTGCCGGACAAGTACGACGAGAGGACTTTCTGCGTCTACGGCTCCGACGCTTCCTCCGTCTACGGCTTGGCCGCGTTTGGGCTGCTGCTAATCAGCCAGACTGTGATTCATGGCGTCACCAGATGTCTGTGCTTCGGCAAAGGCCTAGTCACTGGAAGTTCCGCCGCCACATGTGCAATCTTCCTCTTCGTTTTCTCCTGGTGCGTTTCTCCAGATTCTCAATTGTTCCTTTTTTCTCGGCCAGATTTCCTCGCTTTTCTACTGTAACTGTGTTAGGCTTAGTTTGCACAGGCAAAAAGGAATCTTAGGGTTTGGATGGTTGGGACCTCAACTTCACACATTTTAGGGTCTGGGCTTGCACGCAGGCTGACTGATTAAGGCAAAAAGTGCCCTGCTTTCTTTAACCTGTCTGATTTCCTTTTTCTTGTGGTCTTGTGCTTGAGAGCTCAGATTTTCGTCTGCTCGTTGCTCTATTTCTGTACCTGAGTTTCAAAGCTGAAATGGGGAAGAACAAATGTCATGATGATCCCTACATCAAGTGCTTTTCATTGTCCATTTTTGACATTTGCATCAAAACTGGATGCATTATGGGTCACCTTTTGATCTGTAATGATCTAGCATGTGTGGCTATTGTGGACCAGCCCTACTAGTACTTGAGAGAATGAGTGTACCTTTGCACGTAGTTTCATCATACCTCTACAACTGGATTAGTTTTCTTTTGATAGATTTACTTGTAGGATATCTTTCTCACTTTGATTGACATTGTGATCATAAAGAATGACAGCCATTCATGTGCCCGACACTGAAAACTGTGGAACTTCATGAGGATTAAACCCAGTTCCAGTTACAGGGGCAGGGGTGGAACTTTCAAGCCTTTTTTGTTAAGTTTGTTTCCGTGTCTAGGTTTAAGAGTTGGTGACTGATCTAAATGCATATATAAAAGTTTAAATCTTTCTTTACTTAGGCTGTGCTTCTTGGGAGCTGAGGCATGCTTACTAGCTGGATCGGCTAAGAATGCATACCACACCAAGTATCGAGGAGTTTTCCAAGTCGAAGACATCTCCTGTGCTACCCTTCGCAAGGGTGTGTTTGCTGCTGGAGCAGCCTTGACGTTGTTGTCACTTTTAGCCTCCATTCTCTATTACTGGGCTCACTCTAGAGCTGATACTGGGGGGTGGGAGAAGCATAAGAACGAAGGTATTGGCTTAACCCCATCCGACTATCCACAAGAACAACAACCACCGGCTGGCGAGTTTGGGAAGGTTTAAGAACCAGGTTTGTTTGTTAGTATCTAGAATCTAAGAAGCAATCTACACTTTATTTTCTCGGAAGAGACAGATGAGTATCAGCTTAAGGACTGAAAGAAGAATCGAATGTTGGAACGAGAAGGATAGGATCGTACAATATATATTTCGTCCCTGTGTGTGTATAATATATTAATGTATGCGAGTGTTGTTACACACTGTAATTTATGTTTAAACGACTACTACTGGGGTTGTAATTTGGAATGGAGATCAGGCTCAGGGGCATAGTTCATGGTTATGTGCAATGCTAGTGCATTTGATGTTGAATCTCTTGCTGCTGTCTTTGCCATCTACTCTTGTTTGTGGCGATGAAATTCATCTACTCTATATTTAACAGAAGACGAGCCTATTAGTATCTCCACGATTTGCTGGTAAAACTTAAGGTTGTGCCATGATAATGAGGGTGGAAGCAATCGAGTCTAAAATTATTTCTTCGTGCGCACCAGTATAGTTAAGCTTGGGCGGGCTACCAGGAATCAATCACAAACATGGTTCAACATTGCATCTTCGTTTTGTTTATATACATGTGTAGGTTGTTCTGCTTTCCCTTCATGATGACTGATTTCATTTCCTTGAAGAGGGAGCTGAAAGTGAATGAACAGCAGGATTCCTCTTACCCAAGTTCATATCACTGATAAGTTTGTCGAGCAACATTCGACTAACCACAGGGAAATGAACAGCAAACTCCCAACTGACATTGTGTCGAGAAGAGACTGATTTTGTAAATTGAGGGCCAACTGTTACTCGAGGAGTTGAGTGTTCTCAAATTCCTTGGACCTTCCTCTCATAGTTACTGGCTCTTTGTTAGTTACACAATCACTGCAACAGCTCAAATTCCAGTAGCAAGTACATATACCAGTTCCACTGTGGGAATCCTCTGTATGACAGCATGAAAAAGGGCAGGTCTCTCTATGATGAACACTTTGGTTTTATTAGCAAGTGCAGAACCACAAACTTGCATCCTAACTGACCCGTACGGGGCAATGAACCCTGTTCTCCATCTATTCGACCAGATAAGGATTTGATATTTGAGTTTCGTGCTTGCTTCATTCTTTCCATTATAATGAGCTACAAAATTTGGGAAAATGAAGAAATTGTTTGTTGCTATACTATTCTAGTAGTCGCTTGTGCTTGTACCAGGCAATAGCACCAACGAAGAGGAATACAGTCCCCATAGCGCCCCCACCTACTGTCCAAAGAAATTTTGGCATACCTTGTTTCACATCTTCCTTAAACAGCTCGATCTCGATGTTCATGCCAAAGACACCAGCAAGCACGATAAAGAAGCTGATGAATAGTGTTGCAGTCGTCAGCATAACCCCCATTCGCAGAAGGTGGTTCTGCTTGTCATCCAGCATAATGTTGATATAGTCCTCTGTGTCATCCACGTACTCCCTCAGCTTCATTCATGTCACATGAACACAAATCACGCAAAACCCAAACGTACGGGAGTTAGAAATAAATTCATCGGTCAAAATCACAATTTCTTCTCAATTCTCATGATGATGTGTTTATCTATTCCTCTGTTGCAGAAGAGGTGAAAGGGAGCAGGGTGCAAGTGAAGGGAGAGAGTGAAAGCCCACATTTTTTCATATGTTTTCTGAAAATTCGTAAGGGTGAAAGTTGGGTGACAAACTACTGTTGTAGAACAACATTTTCACCCTCCACAAATAATCATTCTCCTCTTCCAGATATAGAGTTATAAGCAACAAAAACAATGATGGATTCATACCGCAGAAAGTTTGTTTAGAGTTCCGTCAACTTGGACAAAGTATGCTTCCAGAAGCATTTCTAGCTCCTCCACATCAAGGTGCTTGCTCATGGCACTCCTAGTGGTACTAGTGAGTGTGCGGCTAAGCGCACTGAATGGATGATGAACATGAGGGATATCAGCTTGAATATCCGGATCATAGCTACTGGATGCACCATGTCCACCTTCCCTAGATGCTTCAACAGGAAGGCTGGTGTGCATGCAACATGAGGACAATCTTTGATGAGCAAACACAGAGATCCATCAACCACAAATAAAAAATAAAAACATCCATGGCTCACTACCTGTCATCCATTTCAGGTGGATCATCTTCCATTTCATCTCCATTACTGAAAGAGGAAGCTGTCGAGTTTTCCAGGTTAACTAATTTTTCAGTCAAGTACATTTCAGCCATATCCTCATCGTCATCGAGCAAGTGTTCCAACTCATCCCTTACCTGTAATTGAATATTACGTATGGACCGGTGTCTATGCTTAAGAAAAAGACCAGTAAATTAATTGAAGACCAACCTTCTGGACTCGGCCAGTTATTGCCACCAAACGACTTTTGATCTGCCGAACACGTTCTAAATTGAGAGTACTAATTTTTGAAGTCAGCTTATCCAATGCTGGATGAGCCTCTTGCTCCAATGTTTTTGCCTGATAAGGAAAATGTAAAACAACAATAGATGCGCAAAACGAGGCGATCACAAAATTGTTCAGTAACAGAAGCAACGAAAACATAATTAAGAGCTTACCTCAATCTCTAAGCAACTGCAGGCAGCCTCCAAACAGGCCTCCAAGGCTACAAATTCAAATGGGAGAACCTTCGATCCATCACGGTTCTCAACGCTCTGCCTCCCATCTGTCTTCCTTCCCTCTTCATGATCACGACCAAGTAAAGAACGCTCAGGAAATTCCTCAGGGCTCTCGGTGCTTGATTTCAGCAATTGGGAATCATACACAGTCTTCCAATTTGTATCGTCTCCATTTCTCTCCTTTAACAATCAAAGGGAGATTAAAAGTTGCAGAATGGTGCAAAGACTCAACAATGCTGCAATCACACCAGGTGCAGAGAAATCACAAGTGCACATGAAAGTTGAATAAGTATCCAGATATGAACTGCTGAAATGATAGAATGCCTATCCCACAAGCGCCTAATTCACTGAAAGTACATTGAAAGTCCCCTCTTTCAACTTCGGCATTTATAAAAATGAACCTAATCAAACCTCTGCATGTATAGTACAAAGGGTAGCACAAACAGGCAAGTCCCTTATATGAAACCATGGATTGTCCTTTCCCATATGAAGATCAATTCAACCAAATTCAACTTCAAACAAAGAAGCTCTCTACACACTTTACAAATGAAGTTTCATCAATGCGATTGATTTTGTAATTACAAAAACTCATGTAATCTTACAATTTACAATGAAAGACCAACGTGAATGTTCTAAGACAAACAGGACCAAATAGCTCCACAAACCCATAGATCACCATGAATTCGAATTTTGCAATCTAGCAACTTACAGATAAAGCTGCAAAAAAAATTCCGTACCTGTACTTTGGTGGCGTGAAAATGGAAGGTAAGCCTCTTTTGCAGCTCTTCAACGAAGGGGGTGACAGAAGGGTCCTTGGAATTCAGCAACAAAACCTCCTGCGCAGTTATGATCGCCTTGATGTGTTCCAAATTGATGACTATCGCCCTCTCGCGGCCCAGAACCGTGGACGGGTACGACAGAAGCGGGTCGAGAATCCGAAGATCGCGGGCGGGTAAACCAGTGCGACGCATGATGGCGTGCTTCCCTACCTCCACAGTCTGGGCCTGGCCGGTAGAGTCCAGCAGAAGCCATGCCCGTACTCCTGTTCCTTTCTTGCGGGCAGTGATGAGGGAAGTGGCCGGGCGGCTGAGCAGTTCCCGGTCTACTTCATCCGGCTTGGACGATGGAATCTGATCAGACCTCATGGCGGCGAATTGGCAATGGCAATCTGGGGTAGCTTAGAATTGGCAATGGCAAGCTATGGTGTTCGAACCAGTAGTGGGATTGCTGATTGCCTGAGCCCTGAGTGATCAACGATTCAACATCAACCCCAAATTTCCGGCTGCCGTATTATTATCAAATCCTTTTTTCTTTTTTTCTTTTCCTGTTCATATAAAATCGGTATGAGATTTTAAAATGCATAAATTTGATAAATTCACCACACCAGATGTTTAAAATAACCAAAATACGCTCTAAACTTTTGCGTTTGTGATAATAATAGCTATTTTTAAAGAAATACTAGATATAGCCACAATTTTAAATTTGTTTGACTAATTTAGCAATTTTCGTTCAATATTTTAACACCGTCAATAATTCCGTTAGTTAAATACTCATTAGGCTTATGTGAATGTCAATAGAACAACAAGTCATGTCCCCCTAGACTTAACATATGCCACGTCACATTTTAAGTTAATTAAAAATAGAAAATTTGATATACCATGTCTCTCTCATCTTTCAAGCTAGATCTAGTTTCGCCTTCTTCCTCCGTTGTCCACACAACCACCACTGCCACCTGCTGCAATACCACCACCGACAAAACTAGAATCTCAAATCGGAAACCTCCGTCACGTCACCAGTCTGCCCCTTTCCCTCGTTCTATCTCCTACTTCTTCCCCAACCTCCCACCTTCAACCTGGTATCCTAACAATGGAGAGCTCCGACCAAAAACTGAATCTCAAATTGGAAACCTCCTCCACATACAATTCCCTGTACCCTCTCTACGCCATGGCTTTCTCGCCCACCCACCACCACTGAATCACCGTCGGGCTCATCTCCGTCTACCTCCACCTCTAGGACCTCCGCGACGACAGCCTCGTCGAACCCATCTCCGTCCTCAACAACAGCAGTGAGTTCTGCCCTCCCCAAACATCCTTTGATTGGAAAGAGATCGAGCCCAATCGGCACCTCCATCATTGACACCACCTGCACGATTTGGGACATCGAGAAGCCCGTCATGGAGACGCAGCTGATTGCACATGATGCAGTTGATCCCATGAGGCCATGACAATGTGCGTTTTGTTGGTGGTGGGAGTTCGAAGGGATAGTTTCATCAGCTCGGAAAAGGTTTTGGAAGATATGGGAATTTTCTTGGGATTTTTCCAAAAATAGCACCTTTTAAAAAAAAAATTACAAAAATAGCACCAATCCGAAAAAATTTACACTAATAGCACCCTTTTTAATGAACCGCATCTTAGAGGTGCGTTCCATATTTCTGGACCAAAACCGCATCTTGGCCAAGCGGTTTTAGGTCTGACCTACAGAAACCGCTTGGCCGAGGTGCGGTTTTGGCCTGACCTATCAAAATCGCATCATGAAGGTGCGGTTTGTTACTCCCAAACAAAACCACACCTTCAAGGTGCGATTTTGCCATACAAACCACACCTTCAAGGTGCGATTTTGCCATACAAACCGCACCTTGGAGGTGCGGTTTTGGTCAATCAATTTCCGACATGCAATGCAGACGTAACAGACGTGGGTCTGCATGGGCCTGCATGGCAGACGAAAACCGCATGGGCCTGCATGGTAGACGAAAAGGTGCGGTTTTCATCAGTGATTTTGCCTATAAAAGGCCTCCCGGAAAACCACTTCTCTTCACACCTCTCCTTCTCCCTTTTCAATTTTCTGTTGTAGCTCTATATTTCTTTAGTAGTTTTGCGATTAACGTTAACTCGTAAGTTTATTTAGTATTACTTTTTATTGTTATTTTTTATTTTTGATTTTTATGATAGGGTTAATACCCTAATTTGGCCTGAAGTTTAGCGTGAGTGACAGTTCTGGCCCCATTTTTTAAATAAGACATTTACGGTCTACTTTTGAAATTATTAGACAGATTTGGCCCGAAACTTGTGTTTACCGTTAATACTAACGGTCAAACACTTATTCCGTTAGTGATTCAGAAAAAACAGTTGATGTGGCTTGCCACGTCATTAAATAGTAATATTTTTTAATTTTGTAATTAAATTAATAAAAAAAATCCCCAAATCCCCAAACCCCAATCCTTCCACCCTCATTTCTTCATCCCGCCGCCTCCTTCCCACTGGTTCATCCCCTTCTTCCTCTACTGTGTCGGAAGCAATCGGAGGCTGAACCACCCTGTCGTTGGAAACGAATAGACTCCAAAGTCCGAAGCATCCGCCGCCGCCATTGCAGAATCGGGGCTCTGAACCACCAGCTAGACTAAGAACGGAGAGACTCTGAACCACCCTTCTTCCTCTCCACCAGCGAAGCAAACAGAGAGAATCAGTACTGGCCATGGCGGATCAGATGCAATCGTTGTCACGAACTTGTTCGGAGACCGCGTCGATTCGTTGAAGAGAGGGAATCTCGAGAAGGAAGCTCGTCCGGGAAATCGTGCGTCGCCACCTTCTCTGAACATCCGAACCAGATAGCTGCTTGCTCTTCAATTGCCCACTCACATACGGCCTCCAGCTTCTCTTCAAACAGGTGGAACCAGGAGGTGGTCCTCCTTGTTTTGTTCATTCAGATTCAGGCAAAGCAAGGGAGCTTATGAGGTTTTGTGGTGGCAGATGCATTGCTGCTGCCCGCTGCACTTTCTGGTATGTACAAGAACAACCCTGTTGGCAAACATGGAGATCCAGGTAAATGGCAGCGCTTTTCTTCCTCAAGTTTTCAGCCTGACCTTAAGGATAATGTGCGTCGCCACCAGATCTGGATCCTTCAAAAAAAAAATCAACCCAACAGATCTCATAAAGCGAAGGGTAAAAGCAAAAGGAGCTCCAATCTTGTTCTGGGCGGTGCACATTTTGGCCACCGGTTGCTGGTAGCGGAGGGATTGGAATGGAGGAGAAGAATGGAGATTGGAGATGCGTGGATTTAGGCTAAAACATGGAGAAAGTGGAGCTGCGATAAATCCATCCTTTAATTTTTTATTTCTTTAATTTGTTAGTCTTATTTTAATTAAATTACAAAATTCAAATAATATTATTTGATGATGTGGCACATGTATAACCACATCAGCAGTTTTTTTCTGAATCACTAACGGAATAAGTGTTTGACCGTTAATATTAGCGGTCAACACAAGTTTTGGGCCAAATCTGTCCAATAATTTCAAAAGTAGGCCGTAAATGTCTTATTTTAAAAATGGGGCCAGAACTGTCACTCACGCTAAACTTCGGGCCAAATTAGGGTATTAACCCTTTATGATATTAACTGAACTACGGTTTTATCGCAGATGGCATTTCAAAAGTTCACGCTTGGCTTACGGTGGAATGGTTACACGGAAGAGACCGGAAAGGGGGTCACCTACGTCGGTGGCAATTTTCAGAAGATAAAGGTCGCTACCAGACCGCTGCTTGAAGACCTCCATCAAATGTGCACTAACGTTACTTGCATGGATGGCACGAGAAGAGTTGATCGTATGGTGTACCGATATCCAAACAGAGAAAGTGGGTCATTGTGGCATGAGGAATATCTCATAACCACTCAGGATGAGGTAGATGCCATGCTCGAATTCATGAGGTCCAACAATCTTTCCAAAGCCGAGATGTTCGTTTACACCGAGCCGGTCGTAGGCGTTGGAGGTCATTCTGGACACGGTCAAACATCTGGTATCCATGGTGGAGGTGAATTATATGGCGATCATCCCTACCAAAGTTACCATGATCCTCATTCATATTTTCAGTACCAAGAGCAAGTTGAAGGTCATTATCAATCTTTCCCATCATATGAAGAAGAAGTTCAATCAGACCTCCTCAACCAACCTCAGTACAACTTCCACTCAGGCAGCGGTAGTTTTCATCACTACCATTATGGAGCTGATGAAGGTGCCTTTCATGAGCTGGATCAGATGGAGGATGCCCTGCCAGCACCAGTCAGTGACCCCTCCGATGAAGGAGAGAACAACGTCAGTGCAGACAGCTCCGACCCTCTTGAAGGTGCTGATGATTAAGGACCAGAGTCAGACTCAGCTAATGATGATGAGGTGGCTCGTGACGTGTACCAGTCCCCTACTACAATCACATTCCAGATGACAATTGGATGGTCGACAGCGACATGGAGCCGCCAGAGGTCCCAATATGAGGTCCACTCACTGGGTTTATGAAGGGCCAACAATTTGGCTCGAAGTAGGAGGTGCGGCACGCCATTGAGACAGAAGCAATGAATCAGCATTTTGAATGACACACAACTCATTCCAACACTAAAAGGCTCATAGTCAGATGTCGTAATCATCACGAGGGGTGCAATGTTAGGATTCGAGCCATCAACAGCAAGAGACACGGCCGCTGGGTCATATCCCGTGCGGTGAACACACACACATGTGTGTCATCCATAACTTCACAAGGTCATCGACAGTTGAAATCCAGGGTGGTTGCTGCGGCTATCAAGCATCTAATTGAGCAAGATCCGGACCTGAAGGTGAAAGTCATAATCGCTGACACTGCAAGTTGTTATGGTTATATGATTAACTATAAAAAGGCGTGGCATGGAAAGCAGAAAGCTCTGGCCGCCGTCTTTGGTGATTGGGAAGAATCATATGCATTCCTTCCCAGGTTAATTTTGGCATTGGAGGCGTCTAACCCTGGCACGGTTTTCTCCCCTCGATACCAAGATGAAGAGATACAACCCCCAGAGCCAGGTAACAAGCGCCATTTCAGACGACTTTTTTGGGCATTCAAGCCATATATTGATGGTTTTGGCTTCTGTGTCCCTGTCATCCAAGTGGATGGTACATTCCTTACCGGCAAGTACAAGGGCACTCTACTGATTGCCAGTGAGGCGGATGCAAACAGACAAGTCTTTCCTTTAGCCTTCGCCATCATTGAGGGAGAGAATGTTGATAGCTATGGATGGTTTTTCCGGCTAATTCAGCTCCACGTCACTAGAAGGACGAACCTGACAATAATCTCTGATCGGCACGCCGACATTAGAGCTGCCATCTTAGGTTTATATCCAGCCTGGAAGTGGTCCCAAAGGTGGTGCATACGACACTTCAAGAGCAACTGGAACCATCATTTCAAGCGAAAGAAGCTTGCTGATAATTTGTGGTGGATTGGTAAGTTTGTAATTAGCCGTATAATTTTGTCACCTAACAATATCTTAGTACATTTGGCGAGTGGTGCACTTGTTAGACTCTTTCTAAAGTGATGCATGCCTAAGGAAATGGAGTTTTAAGCGATTATCATGATCCTCCCATTTCCTGGGAAAATCGGTTTTTAAGCGATCTTCGGATC